GTTTAAGGCCATCGTAGCACAGGATCCTTCTTTACGGCCGTCGTAGCACAGGATCCTTCTTTAAGGCCCTCGTAGCACAGGATCCTTCTTTAAGGCCCTCGTAGCACATCATCCTTCTTTAAGGCCTGGTCAAGGAGAACGCCCCCCCCCCCCCCCATGGAAGGGAACGACGACACCCCCCCCCTTTCATCCTAGCAACTCGCCCCCCCCAATTATAACGACAAACTCCCCAACCCCGCCATTCGGCGACGATACCCCGCCCCCCTTTCATTCAAGGCCTGGTCAAGGAGAACGCCCCCCCCGCCATGGAAGGGAACGACGATCCCCCCCCCCTTTCATTCTAACAATTCGCCCCCCCCCCAATTATAACGACAAACCCCCCAACCCCGCTATCGAGCGGGTATGGCGGCGCGAGCGCCTCGATGCGTTGAATGTGCGAGTCATCTGCCACCATGCCGGGCCTCAGCAAACAAGCTTGGACCGTGCTAAGCAGTCAATGAGTCATGCTGCTTTTGACTGTTGGAGCTCTTTTGACTGAGACCAATGAGAAAAATACTAGCCTTTCTGGCTGAAGCTCGCTCTGAAGCGCTGGCAATGGGGGTGCGTATTGGACTTGCGGGTGCGACTCCTGTCCTGGAAAGGAAGGAATTCCAAACAGCTTGAAGAGAGCAGTTCAGAACTGGGAACTTGAGGCTTCAAACCAAGGACTTTTAACAGGTGGCTTTTGAGTACCTTCAGCCACTTCATGGTCTGAACTTAGGCCACATATTCAACGCATGCCCTGTGATCCCTTGTGTACACCTCGCTTACAGTGAAACAAGTAGCCTCCTTAGCTGTCTTCTCGGGCCATTCACCAAGGCAAACCATGATTCTTTAGAACATCCTGGCCTGCTGCCTGTACAGCATGGAGCTTGTCAACCAAGGTAGAGTTCTTGAGCGGATTCACAGGCTCCTGTCAAAGTCGCATGCTGCATCACGCTGCTCTGCTTTAGTGCGAGTGGACAAATGTTTTCTATAGTTATGCATTTGAAAGCTCTTTGTGGTGACTGCCATTTGCGCCTCCATTTGGTAGTGGAGCTCACCCTGCTCCAAAGCAAGCTCTGCTTCGTCCTGTCGCGAGCTCGCGAAGACATACGTCCATCCTTGCCATCTGTGCTTCCTTGCCATCTACTGTGGATGATTGGTAGGTACTTGGCACCTAAGGCTGCCCCAATTCCTTGGATCCGAACATGTCTCAGTCCTGCATCTCCAATTTCCAGACCTGAGAAAGCTCACACTCAATGAGCGTATCAGAAACTGGCGCACAGAACAGCGAGAAGCAATAAAATTGCTTCACCAAGTGTCCCGTAAGCGTTTTTGAACTGCCGCGACAAGGTCCCAAGGCAGCTGAAGCTTCAAACATTCATCCTGCAGCAAACAAATCTGTCCATGATGTCGGTGAAGCTCATACAAAGGAATATTCCTACATTGCCTTTTGGTGTGAACATATCAACTCATATCAACCCCCTCAATCAGGCACGCACCTGGGAGAGACACTCCAAATGCCGGAGCGAAGTCACATTGGAGTGTTGCAGCAACCTCAGTCCAAAATAGCATCGACTGGCACTACAGGCTTGACGGTCTTGGCATATTGAAATGATGTTAATAAAAGTCAAAATGATGTATAAAAATTTAACAAATATAACTATAACTTATGACTTATGATATCAAAGACTTTGAAACATCCTCATCATCCTTTACAAGCAGTGGAAAGCAGGAAAATGACAGGTGGTGCTTAAAAATGGTGCAGATTGCTATATATCTACTCCAAGCTGATTCGAGGTTGGGGAGTGGAAGAAAGCGGCCTCCTATCGGCCTCCGCTAGGCCTCCGGGCCACAGAAAGCGTTCCGAGTTCTGCGCCATCCCCAGGAAGTTCCTGTTTTGTTCCGCCAGGACGAGACACTCAAAAAACCTCGGACATGACCTCATCCTCGGATAATCCTATCGGATAAACCACCTGCTTACTCTGAAGAAAGGACCGATCCCCAAGGGACAATGCTCCAAACTGATGAAACAATGAAACAGGTTCAAAGCTCTTGATGCACAGGATTATTTGCAGCTTGGCCACATGGTCTCGACCACAAGCGCACCCATTTCGCTCTGGGCCTTCTCCTGAAGTCGATGGAATGTCATGCTGCAGGTCAAAAGCCACAAACTGGACATGTGCGCAAGGTCCAAACTCCAGAGTAGCAACCCTCCCTTTCGGACAAAAGTCCTGTTAGAGTGGACGCCCATCAAACCAACCAAGTTTTAGACTCGACTATGACCCATATGATTAGATTGTTACAGAATGCTCTGATTTCCTACAAATAGTTCAGATCTTGCTCAGCTCAGTTCTCCAGAACAAAAAGACTACTGTATCTCGTTTCTGTTTTCTAAAATGCCGACATCTTTGCTCCAAGCTGCTTCGGCCGCCGCACTGGCAGCTGGTGGTGCCACTGGTGCCTCACGGACTTGTCGAGCACCAGATCTGAGACTGGACGTGCAAAGCAAAGAGACCCTAAACCTCAAAGCCTCCTGTACAGTTCTTGAGGAATGGATACTGATATACAGTGAATTGAAAATTGAAAGCACCAAAGGGTCAGTATAGCTTTCCTCCGCCAAGGAGTGCTTCCAAATTAATCATCTTGTTAATCTTGTTGTTTGTCCAAACGTGCAGACTCTGATAGGTTTTTCTCATCATGCAGGTCTGAATTTGTGTTCATCCTGGCCATGGTTTACATGAAGGTTTAGTTTAATTACCGCTCTTCTAGCAGTTATGCCATCCTGGTTGACAATGAAGTGGGTAAAAGACTGAGCCCCAGACCTGCTTCGCCCCCTTGGCAGGAGGCTCTTCCACATCTGGGTGGGAAGCTTTGGCCTATAGGGAAGGCAAGCGCTGCTTATTTCTATGGAGCCCGGCGATGACCAGGATGTCTTCTCACGTACTTTTTCTCTGCTGTTAGATGTTCAATTCACATGGTCAACACCCTATCTCCCTAGAATGACTGTACAATACTAATTATACATATAAAACCCTTGGAACGGGTCAACCACATCAAAAGGATGCTGGCGTCCTTCAAAGTTGGGAAGTGACACTTGATCTCTCTCAAGAGTCTGTTCTCGGCTTCAGGCCGCTTCACGCGCAGGTGCTGTTGCTTGGGCTGCTGGGGCCGCTAGGGCTAGGGCCTGGCTGTGGGCGGAATGGAGCTATCTTGGGTAGGTTAAACTTTAATTCTTTTAAAACCATCCCAGGAATATACATGAATATACCCAATCAGGATACTAGGGTTCCATGATTCATAGAGATAGCTGCTTTTCAAGATTATTCCAACCAGTTTGGCAAGCCATGCAAGACATTGCACGCGCAAACAGCGCATATTTGATCATATTTGTTTCTTGTGACACGGCTCCAGTTCCGTCTTCAGATGTTTTTTGTTTCATGAGGAAAGATGGCCTGGTAGTATTCTGCTCCTGTAACTCCTATGGTTGAGGTTTTGATCGTGATGATGTGTAATTCACTGCTATATTTGGTGCAGGAAATCCATGAACATCGCAATGGTGTTCATCCCAATGATGAAGTTTCTCCTTCTCCCTTCCAAAGCAGCAGCTTTGCCCCATGGCGGCTGCGTGCCAAGGAGTATCAGTCCTGTCTTTCTTTTGTTGAATAACACACCAAAGTCCCTGCAGAGCTACCATTGGCCAGTATTGGATGTCCAATTGGAGAAGTGTGCAAGACATCTTTTCCACCAACCACGGCCTATGCCTACCAACAGCGCTGACTGCAGGAAGTCTGAGTCACTGCGTTTGCCCCAAAAGCGGGAACCATGAAGAACATGTTTGAGGTAGCGGCTAGATATTGTTTGCTTTTTTGAATGTTCTTGTGGCCTGCAAAAGTATTAGGAATGTTTAGGAATGTTAGGGATGTTTAGGGGCACCTCGTTTATGTGCCAACGGGGTCTAGACCTCCGCTCACTCGAACCGGCATTTTCCACCAAGGCGTGGATGACCATGACCATGTGTCCATCTTGGTTCATTTAGAGACGGTTGAACCATGTTCAAACGGTCAGGTTAGCTGGTTCCGGAAGGATTTCTTGGACGAAAAGATATGAAACACCCAGTCACGACCCTGGACCCTCATCCGAATCCTTGCGTCACGGGTCTGGGGTTTCTCACCAATCCCGGTCTGGGCTGTTTGGAGCATCAGGGCATGTTGTGTATATGTATATGCATAGTTTCTGGACCATTTCTGGAAGTAGTTAGTGCCTAGACTTGCCGCCTTGATAGGTGGGATAGTTATGGCGTTAAAGAAGAGGATCATAGTAACGTGCGTCGATGACAAGCTTCCAGATGAGTGGTAGACCAAAAATGACAAGACTTCTTGTCTGTCATCAGTGCCAAAAGTATTTGTTGTTGGCCCCATATCGATTCTCTATGTTTCAATGTTTTGGACTCACTCTCTGATAGAGTAGCCCAAATCGGTTCTGCAGGGCTTGGCTCGTTTCAATACCAGTACGGGCAGCCCGTTACTAAAGTACATGTATATTAGGATTTTCGTCAAATATGTAGGATACGACTCGAGTTGCTCTAGGGTCCTTCAGGCTGACTGTGCATGCACCAAGGTCCATACGCAAGACAGCTTCTCGCTCTGCGCGCGTGCTTTTGATCGGAAGAACGGGCCGCTGCGTGATTGACAAATCCTGTATGCGCAGCCGGCTCGTTTTTTTTGACTTTATGGTATGCGCAGTGAAGAATGTCATTGACACGCGCTGAACTCTTTGGGTTTCAGCGGGTGAAACTGGAGCCATCAGGAAGCTCAGAAGTTTCCACTTGAATCCTCGATCAAATGATAAAACTGAGAGCATCAAAGGAAATAGGAATCGTTGCAACACGAAGCTTGACGAGGCACAGCGGGCCAGCGGGGCTTGCACCAGAAGTTCAAGCAATTCCGCGCGAAACCATGGTCAAAGGGATTCCTGCACGCCAAATCACGCCCATATGTCTCACAAACCACGCGTCTCCAGCGCGCAACCGCTGCAGTGGTTTTTATGATCCGATTGGGCGCTGCGCCTGTTCTTGTCATAGATGAACTCTCCACGGTCGAAAATTTCATTGAACCTCACGCATGGACTCGCTCTCACTTATCGGCGCTCGCAAAGATGCTATACGACAATGTGCAGACGGGACGCTCGTCATCCGACAGCTCCTCGACATAAACATTGTCGCCCTTACTGGTGTTGTTTGCCTTGCAGTTCAAAGGCAGCTAGAGGCATGAACCTTGATTTCACATGAGGCGCATGCAACGTAGTGTTGGTTGCTCCTCCACTCTTGCGCCAACTCATTCCTGCGCTCCATCAAGAAAATACAAAATTCATCAAGAATCTACGTGGGAGGGGCAGTGCTCTGCAACTGAAGAAAAAATTGAATAGTGCCTGGAGATCAAGCCAAAATGAATCTTCATTATTGGCCTGAGTCTGGATCAGCGCATTTCCCAGCATGCATCACCGTGATGCGTACCGTACGGATACGCTGAGGAGACTGCCCAGCAACAGCCAGCAGGGCCACTGAGTACCCCAAGTGCAACCTGAGGGATCGAGAATTCTCAGTAGCGATGCTCTTTGTTCCTATAGTAGTTTCTTGCTCCTAGTAGAAAGGCCAGGAACACCTAGTAGTTTCTTGTTCCTAGTAGCGATGCCCTTTGTTCCTAGTAGCGTCCTTGCTCCTATATCTCCGGCGCGAAGCACTCTCTATCTATCTCTGTCTCTCTGTGGGCACGACGCAACGGCGACTTCGGCGTCCAATGATCCCTGCAAGGTCAATGGCGCAAGCAGAATGCAAAGCGCAAGCAGAAAGCACAAGCATTGGCACCAAGAGCGACCTCCTCGGCCAACAAAATGGCAACCCATAGATCCATGAGAACGCCGAGCCTAAGAGTTGTGGGGCCCTCCCTGGCTCTGGAGTCTGTGCCACATCTTCAAATTACTCTTTCTTCGAGTTGACTTCATGTCTCCATTCCAATCAGACTGGGCCCAAAACAGCGCTATGGCAATGAAACCTCGGCGATTCAGGATGGACGTTCTTTGAAAATCTCAAACCTAAAGAACACTTGAGCGGGGAAACACGAAAGGTAGAGACGGACTGGGTAGCTGTCGGGACCTTTTCTGGTGAGGGACTGTCTCTGGTGTTTCAGGAACGTGCCCCTTGCTCAATCATGGATGAAACCAACAACGCCAGAGAGCACAAGAAGGCTCAAGAGGAACACCGTTGCGGTCAGATTGCGCCACACGGCTCTGCAGAGAGGCTGCGTTGCGTCGACGCTCGTTTGTGTAAAGGTGTGTGAAAACAGGCGCGCGTAAAAGTCGCAACGCGCAAACGCTCGCGAG